GTTCTTGGGTCAAATAAGTTAGAAAAGCTCTGGATTTACTTATTGGAAGACTTTTCAGAGACTTTAGAACGCTAATATGCATTGTCAATCTTCAAGACCAAAATAGGAGCATAAAGCATATTCCAAACTTATTCAAGCTTAGAATCACTTTTTCCAGAGAAACTTACAAGGAATAGGTTCTGTGAAATTTTGATAAGTATTTGTCTGAGCCATTCTCAAACTTTGGGGGTTTTCCTCCATATGAATGTCAATTCTAATTTACAGATCTCCAGAGAAAGAGATTCTCAGGTCCCATAAGTAACTTCTCCCACAACCTTCCTAGGAAAAAAGTCCACATTGTGCATTTTATGTGAATATTCCTGTGGCAGTTTTAGTCTCTGTGCCCTCAAGGAATAATAGAAGCCACTTTCTGAAAGAAGAGCCCTTCCTAGGCCTGGGTTCCATCATTAAGCCTTGCCCAAGGTTTTCCATCTATTGCCGATGCTATGCATTTTTTCCCTCATGATCCATTTCCCAATTAATCTCTGGCTCTTCTCCACACTCTCCCAAGTTTCCTCCCTCACCTTCACTTGCGGAACCCAAAATGGGGCTCCTCTTCCAGGAAGGCCTGGCCAGTTCCAGACTGGCCAAGGAAAGGGCTGTGGAGCCATTACGCTGAAAAGTGAGGAATTTAACCCAATGGGCATGAGTTTTCCATCTGGTCAGAGAAGGGTTGACTTGAAAGAGACTGGGACGCAGGGACAGGAAGCAAGTGTCCCAGCCAGGCCAGTCCTGCCTAAGTGAGAGAGTTCCTGTAAAGCACCCTCCTACTGTGCATTGTCAGGCAGCTACAATAAGCTGATCTTTGGAGCAGGGACCAGGCTGGCTGTGCGCCCATGTGAGTATGACGGTGCCAATGACCAGGGCAAAAAGAACCGCTGACTTGTCCAAGAGAAAACAGGCAAATGATTTATAGCAAACCTGAGGATATATGAAGCCCTCATTTTCCATTTCTACAAGCGCTCTTGGTGACTTGAAATGTTCCCATTTCTCATATTAAAGTCAGAAGTGCCAAGAGCCAATTGAGTAAATGAAAATCAGAACAGAATAATTTACGGAAATATAAAAAGATTTCCAGATACTCGGTGCTTTGAAGCGAAGCTGATAATATCAGCACCAGATAATCTGAACATTCAGGAAATTAGCTTAGTGCCCTTGGGGGAAAGAGATGAGTTAATGGCAAACACAAATTCTCTTTTATTGCAGCAGGTGGCTAAACTCCCTGGGTTGGCTAATGAATACCTGCTCAGAGAATCTTCCTCTCTGGAGGACAGTAGAGTCGTGAATCCTCACCCAGGGGTAAAAGTGGTTCAGGCCCCTATCTGGATGGCAGTTCCACATGAGTAACAAGCATAGAAAGGATGACAGACAGGGGAACTCTAGCTCTATCCTCACCAGCTGTATTTAATGTGGCCTCTACTCCCAACAGCAAAATGACAATAACCATATCACAATATGATGTAATACCCCACAGATAACAAGTAATCAATAAGTAGTAGCTTTTCTGATATATTATTGTTATTATAAGCTATACTTGTCTATACTAAGATTATTGTAAAGGACCAGCTCCCTTGAGAAACGGAAAAGTAAGAAATTAAGATGGGTCAAGCCTTGTAGGATAGTTCTCTGAGACCCAGGATGGACGAGGGTGAGGGGTGAGGGTTCCAGCAGATTCACATCAGGAGAGTTATTCCAAAGATGTTACCCACAGTGGGAACACAGCAATGGCAGTTAATCTAATCTTTGGAGCAGGGACCAGACTGAGCACCCAGCCAAGTAAGTAGAGTGGGCAAGGGTTGAATAGACAGTTATTTCTTCTTTGTCCAAGACACTGACTTGAGTCCAGGTATTGTCATCTATAGGATTCCAAATGGTTCTTTCTACCCACCTCCAGGAAATCCTCCCACCTAGCAGCACTGAGTGCTTTGGAGACATTATCCTTAGACTGGGACCTTAAGAATTACATGGCAGATGATAAGTTCTGTTTCTGAGATATTTCCACTAGAGGATCTAAGATATTGCTGCCCTGAATAGGGGATTTTGATCCATTGAAATCTACTGAATTTGTGGAAATCGCATGAACTCACAAACTCAGCTCAGGATACCATTGCAGAATTGGGCAAGAAAAAAGAACTTTACATACCAGAGACAAAAATCTCAAGACAAAATAGCAGAAGGCCTCACTCTTAGGAGTGTGATCCTCCTGTCCTCTGGGACATCAGTGCTTCTCCAATGAGTTTCTGTAATGGCGTTGCCTGCAGTGTGAATACTGGAGGAATGACTGGTAAACTCATATTTGGGAAAGGGACCCAAGTGTCCATACTATCTGGTGAGTCATCTCAGGTTATGCCATTTGCAACCCCATGCGCTAGTGTCATTAATTCATTCCCCAGTGATATCCATTATTACCCTGGTGAGGCTAACTGTGGATGTTGTAACTAATTGTCTTACAGAGGTCTGGGAAGGGGAAAGGCATCACTATCAATTTTGAATATCTATGTTTCTCTAGGTCAAACACATTAAAATTTGACTTTAATCATTCAGGATATTTTTAAATGCCTTCTAAGTAGCTATCACTCTATAAAATGTTACAGTGCATATGAAGCAGTGTAAGATAGATATCTGACCTGTCCCCAAATAATATAAAGATTAGCCAAAGGGGCTGGGGCTGTAGCTCGGTGGCAGAGTGCTTGCCTAGCGTGTGTGAGGCACTGGGTTTGAGCCTAAGCACTACGTAAAAAAAAAACAAGGAAATAAAATAAAGGCATGATGTCCATCAACAACTACAAAAATTTTTTTAAAGGCTAGACAAAAGTACAGAACTGTTGTATGTTTACCCACTTAAAAACTGTCTTATTATTAACAATTAATGATGTCAACGGGCATAAGAGATCCAGATGAGTTAGGATCCTGGAAGAAAAGTCCAAGATAGTGGATGTTTTATGTGGTAAAAAAAAGATTTGTTGAGCCCTGAGGATAAGTTAACATTTGTATGGGCAGAAAGAGGAGAGACGTGGGATTCTAGGTACAAGGAACAACAAGAAAAAAGATATGACCTTGGGAATGAACAAAGCACATGACTTTTGGTCTAAGTGAACACATCTGATGGTCAAGTTGGATTGAGAGACAAGGCAAAGACTGTATTTTCTTAGACCACGGAGATAAGGAATACTAGAGCCTGCAATAGAATACAGAAATTAGGGCCAAGACCAGACACCAGTAATCTGAGAATTCAGTTTAGAAATGCAGACCAGATAGGAGGTGAGAAGGATCAGCTCTTTTCACAGATGGTTCATGGCCTAGGGACCTTCCCTCTCCTTCCTCCGTGGGCTCTGGAAAGAGAAACCTGAGGACTTTCTGTAAGGAAGCACCTGCCTCCTGGGGGCAGTTTGGCAAAGGCCCAGAGTTTCCATTATTCCTCAGAAGTCTGCCCACGCTGTTTCCTGACACCCTACAAAGCTTCAATGAGACACAGATCAGTGTCACTAACTTTCGTTTCTTGGTTCCTAGTGCCTAACTGCAGAGCACAGATTTAGTGGTAAGGGAGCTTTCAATCACTGCTCTGCCCCCCAGGGATCTAAAGCACTAGAGCATTCAGACATGTGCTTCTGCAGTTAGTTTTGAATTATGATGACAGGTTAGGATCTAGAATAGCTGAACTTCCACATTGAAAAATTGATTGTCTTGCTGAGGCTACCTTCTGACACTGTCAGTGGTAGAATGTGTTTCTCATGCTGGGGTGGAATAGGATGTCCCTCCCCACAGGGCTCTGGCAGGTGGACCCCTAATGACCTCCAAGTTAAAAGTGGTCGTTTCTTATTTTCAGGAAAAAAAAAAAAGTAAGGTTGCACTAGAGGTACCCGGAGATGAAAGTAAAAGGGAGCTAAATATATATATATATCAGTACCTCTGGTACAACATTTTTTGTCCCAAAAAGGGATAAACAAAGCTTCAGACGCCTGACCACAGAGCCCACCCCTGCTCTCCTGCTCCAGGGGTTGCCCCGCTCAGCAGGCTGCTCTCCTTGACTCAACACCCCAGGGTCATGCCAAGCACTGATTTCTCTGGTTTGGGATCCAGCAGAACATCTGCATCACCTAGGCCACCAAGGCTGGCTCAGCAAGCAGGGTGCAGCAGGAGTCTGAGAAACCTTATGTGCATAGGGAGGAGCTGTGGGATCCTAGAACCACACAGGCAGGAAATTCTAATCCCAGCCCTGCTGGAAACATTCTGGGTGGCCCCAACATGTTAATCCTCCTGGCAAACCTCTGCTTCCTCTTCTAAAGGCGGAGGTTGGAAAGAATAAACAATGAGAGTCTTACTAAAAACACAAAGTCCTCCTGAAAAAGCTGGTGTGAGTCCTTAGGGCCTTATATCTAGTTATCTAGCAAATAGGAGAGCCAGGGCTTGAATGTAGGTGTCCTAGTGTGGAGTCCATAGCTTTATCAATGAGAGAGAAATCTCCTGGTGGTGTGATAGATTTTCCAGCTTAACGCCAACATATCCTAAGTCTCCATTTCCTGCCAATGCCCAACCTAAGTGGGGGAAAACACCCTAGGTTCCAAGAGGCATGGTTTGCTTTTCTGGGCATTTTTTTTTCCCCTGTACTAGCTTTTGTCCTGCCAGAACAATGTTGTTGACTAGGCTTACTGAGGTTTTGAAGAAGTTTCTATTCAGTAGAAGAATGAGCAATTTCATTTTTGTTTCCTAGAATAGCAGAAAGGGCCTGGCCAGGGATTCACTGAAATCCTGACCAACTGCCCAAGATTCATGGTTTGTGTTTGTCCCCAAAGTCCCAGTCCATCTCAAGCAGCTGGTTTCTCCCCCAAAAAAAGCCTGAGAATGAGACTACCCAGCCCCAGAGAGCCTCGTTCTTGTTTATCACCCGAATCTGGGCTCTGGTATAGGTTGGAGCAAAGAAAGCAAAAGCACCTTCTAATCCCAGTCCTCTTGGCCCACAGCCATCAAGGACCCTGACCCGACTGTGTACCAGCTGAGAAACTCTAAATCCAGAAACACTGTCTGCCTATTCACCGATTTTGATTCTAACACCAACGTGTCATTACAACTTACCAAGGATTCTGAAATGTTTGTCTCCAAAAACACTGTGCTGGACATGAAGTCCATGGATTCCAAGAGCAACGGCGCCTTGGCCTGGAGCAACAAAACTGACTTCACTTGTAAGAGTGCCTTCACCCAGAACATCTTCTTCCCCAGCTCAGGTGAGTAACCTCCCCCTTACCCTTACACACTCCATCTCCTTGTTTCCAGAGAAGCATGGTTCTACCCAAAGCTTAGGTTAATGATAGATGAAAGCTACTCTGATTGGTGCTCTCGGCTTCATCAATTGTCAGAAAATCTCCCATTTTCTTTTTACTAAGGAGCAGTGAGCCTCATCCTGAAGCCCATTTAAAGAAAAGGGCAATTAAGGGCAAAAAGAAGATGAGAGAGTAGGTGTAGAGGGTGGTGACCCAGCCTAGGTCTCACCTGCTCTGTGAGGTCTGGCCTCCCAGCCTTTGCTTAGGCACAGGACCATGCATCAGTGAAGGGTCTGCCCTGAGGAAGCTCCATTCCAATTAGGGAAGACCATCCCTCAGCAGAGGGAACTCTGTATAATTTCAGATTGTAATGTGTACTTTAACTTAGACTTAAAGAAAGAGTCACCTTAGGGTAAAGGGTTCTGAAAAAAATGCTACTGAGCTGGGTTAAAGAATAACAAGGTACCCACATGCCATGCCAGAGAGAGAACCCCATGGAGACCTGAGACAGGACCATGCTGACAGCTGGGAAAAGCAGCAGAAAATGAGTTAGAAAATGTAAGCATGGGCCAGAAAACAGAGCTTCAAGACCATGAGAGGATAGATAACTATTTTACTTATTGGGAAGCTATTAATTGGTTGTGACTGGGGGTGGGAGAGAGGGGTGACCCCTAAAATGTGGAGAATGGTGTGTGGAGAATGGTCCAGAGTGGAAGAAGAAAGGAAGCAATAGCAGCAGAGAGAGATGACGGAGGCCTGGGCAGGGTGGTAGCACTTGGGTTTCAAGGATGAAACCACTTAGAGATGAGAAAGAAAATAGGGCATTGAGGAAGGTGGCTGGATTCAAAGCTGAGCAACTAAGTCAGTGAGAGAGAAAACAGAGAAACAAAGTTGGAATACAAGGATCAAAATTTTTTGGAACACATTTAAGTATCTATCGCCCTATTGTTCTTATCACTGTTTTGGTCTCACTTCCCTGGTTAGACTCCACACTGCAGCCTGACCAAGGGCAGGCTCTATCTTAAGGTCTCCCTGTGGCCCATGTCATACAACCTGCACTTTGCACAGCCAGTGTTTGCTGAGTCAGTGCAATGGTGCCCAGAAGCCAGAGTGTTTGGTCCTCAGGCCTCCTGCTGGGGAGGTGCCCCTGTGCAATAAGTTCCTTCCAGATCTCTCCCTAAGAAAGCATGGAAAGGCTATAGATACTCACCAGCCCAGCAACCAGGAGGTTTGGGATGGGAGAGTCAGCATGCTCTGGACTCTAAGAAAAACTCTTGTTTCTCCTTTTAGAGATTCCCTGTGATGCGAAGTTGGTAGAGAAAAGCTTTGAAACAGGTAAGAGAAAGGTCTATCCAGCTTGTCACAGCACTGGGGAGGCAACAAACCCACAATAACTCTGACTAGATAGGGTAGGGGCAGGGGGAATAGATCTGGGAATGAAGTCGTGAGGAGTAGAATAGCAGCTATGACCTGCCTGGAGCTGCCTGGGGTCGGTCTCAAGTCCACCTCAAAATGTCGAATTTTCTTTTCCATTCCAAGTACTTTGAGGATGAGTCTCCAGTTTTACTCAGCCTAGGCCTCTGTATTGCTTTCAACAGCTCCCATCAGGAGAACCAAAGAGAGCTGCTGGGTATTCAGCTGTGAACTTTCTGACTCCCTTAGGGATATCCCTGAATCAATCAGGTCATCCCAGGGACATTTCCCCCTCCAAAACCAGCAGAACTTACATGGTTTGTGGGCAGGAGTCCTGTCTCTCAAGGACCCCCACCAATCCTCACCCCCTGGCCCCACTTCCACGTAAGTTGTTCCTCCTCAATCATCCCTCCTGTGGTTCAGCCACTTGTCTCACTAAAGGATCGGGACCCAAGGGATGATAGTGATAAATTCTGAGCACCTATTCTTACCCCAACCCCATCCCCACAGGGGCTCAGAAAGAAAACAAGGAGCAACCCCAGTAGGTGTTTTTGTTTTGTTTTAAACCTGGAGGAATGCACAAATATATTTACACAAGGAGCTCAAAAAATGAGGTGGATCCAGGAGCTGAAACTCACCCCCCACCTGCCCCACCCCGCTTTGGGAAAAGCCATTGGTATCCTAAGGAGCTATGCAGACCTCTGGTGCGTGTGCCTATAACGGCTGTGGTCTCTCTGTTTTACAGATATAAACCTAAACTTTCAAAACCTGTCAGTGATGGGGCTCCGCATCCTCCTCCTGAAAGTGGCTGGCTTTAACGTACTCATGACGCTACGGCTGTGGTCCAACTGAGGTGAGGGGGCTTCCAAGCTGGGGGTGGGGGTGGGGTGCCTCCGATGAGTCTCCAACTGTGAGAGAAAAACCTCCCTGCAGGGAGATGCTTTTAAATTCTAACACTGGGACCATCTCACTCTTCCATTTCTTCCTATCACAAATTCCTGTTGTTAAAAAACAATGGCCTGAAACATTCCTATGACAAAAGACTCATTTTGGCCTCCTCAGTTGAGCCAGTCTCCCTATGAGGCATGAAGAACCGTTGTTATATCCCCATTCTAGAACACCAGGGCCGAGGAATATCAAGGCCCACACAGCTAATGAGTGAAAGAATAGAGGGGCTCAGACCCCAATTCGCTTATACCACATGCCTTCTGTTGTCCCTCTTTCACTGTGTAACTAAAGGAGCCCCAATTCCTTTAAATAGTTCTCTCAGCTTCAGTGATGAGCCATCATTGAAGCCCACGGAACCATCTCTATCACATCCCTAACAGTACTGTTTAGCATCCAGCCTGACTTCTGATCTTCCTCGTTCCAGGTCGGCAAGATTATAAGGACCTGAGCTCCCTCATCCTTCCTCCTCTTCCCTCCTCTCTCTTCTTCAAGCAAAGGGAATCTCCCACCTCCATGAAGAAGGCGTCTCCATTGCTTCTTTGGCCCCCACTGACAAAGCCACCAACTGGATCTACCCAAATTTGTCATGAAGATTGCTAAAGAGCTGCCAAACGCTGCTGCCACCCCCTCCATTCCCAGACTGCTGCTTGTCACCATTCTCAGCAAAAGTAGGGGCTGCTGCAGCCTCTCCTAGCTGTGGAGAATCCCTCCCCCTCCCCAGAGACTGCCTCTGATGGATCCCCCTGGGGTTTCTTAGACTTTAGTTCCTGGAGAATGTTCTCCAGTTTATATTTTTTAAACATTGTTCATAAAGAAGTACTTTATTATTCTTTTTCTCAAGATGTGGGGAAAATTAGCTCATTATCTAGGTCCTGCTATGCTGTGTATCTGAGGCACATTGTGTATTATTCTGCTACTCTCGGCTTCATTAAAAATGATTTAGAAGAGCAGAGACTGTGCTCCTGTTTGATTGGGTTTGGTTGGGATCAATTTCAGTATGCTGTTAAGAGACAAACCAAGACATGTGTCTACCATGCTATCCAGGAAGCCTAACTCAACAGGCTGCTTAAGTCAACTTCTCCTTAGAATAACCTCTAAAAAATTCCACTCAGCAAGCTGTTCTGGGGGCCAAGAAAACCCTCTTACAAGCTTGGGCCCTGCACTTCTGTTTTCTTGCCACACCACTGGGCCAAGCAGGAGGCCCACACACATAAATGTTAGTGACCGGTAGTTGAAATTCAACAGACAGGGACCACACAGCAAATGTCCCCCAAATGCCACTGTTTCCTGCCCTCCAGGAACATTTTTTCTTTTTTTTCTTTTTTTTTTTTTTGCCTTTTCTCTCAGATCATTGAAACTGTGCATTGCCCACAAATTCATGGCTGGGGACTACTCACCATTGCCCTGCTCAGATCCCAGGCCCATGCCCAGCCCCTGAGGTGCCCAATCTTAGAACTGGGTTGGGAGAAATTGTGACCCCAGCAGGAATTTCCATTTCAACCTTCTGGACATGAGTATAAGGAAAGGGGAGATGAGTTCCCTACTCAAGCCAAGGACTTGGCCTAGGAGAACAGATGTCTCAGGCTCCAACCTCAAGGATAAGAAATAGGATTCCCTGGAGCCCCATAGCATACTACTCCAGAGAACCTTTCCCCAGAGTTGGGGATGCTGATGGGAACACACCTCAGAGACCACTCAGCCATCCACCCAACAGCTACTCAACCAAGACCAAAGGGAAGTGCTCACTCATTCCCAGAGTGGGAGGGTGTTCCTTCCTCAAATGGCTATATGGTTCACCTGGGTAGCTCTGTCCACACCAGCTGAAAATTCAGCTGCAATTCAGATCTGCTTCTTTTCATAGGAATGGAGCTTTAAGAGGTGACCTGGGGCATGAACTCCCCTCTGTGAGCTTCAGGGTCATCCCCTATAAAATGTCGGGTGGGACCAGAGGTTACCTGAAGCTCCATGCATCTCTGATTCTGTAACCCCTATAGAACTAAGAACCAGCATCCCTGGTTAGCCCTACTCAGGGTAGTAACAGAATCCCCAGTTCTTCCTAATCTGTCTCATCTCCAGCCTAAATAGAATCCCTTAAAGATTACTAAAGGGATGTACTCAGGAAATGTCATCATAGCAGGTCACTCTCACACTTGGGAGGATGGGTACTACTTTTCCCATGAGGGATTTGCCACCTGCAGGGTACTTGAGGCTTCTTGAGCTTTCCTTAAAACTGTCTCCTGGAGTGTCTGACACAATGCCAGAGATTCTACCACTGGGAATTTCTTTTAATTAAAGCATTCTCTTCCCCTTATTAAATGAAAATGCCCCTGGGAGGGTTAGTAGAGCAAGCCTTTATCAACCTTTAAAAACTTAGGACAAATTAGTTCATCTTCCCTCCCCACCTCCCAAGTGGCAATTCACTTTATTCTGCATAAAAAAGATCCCAACAAAGAAAGGTGGTGGTTGGGGAGGCAGGTCCACTCTTGAGAGTTGGGTCCCATTACTCTGTGGCTGAAGGGAATTTGAGAGCTCTGGGTAGGGATTAGAAGCCTGTCAGAGAGTGAAAGGGCCAAAGACAGAGGCCTCCTTGAAACATGGAGAAGGTGCAAGCTATAAAGAAGGCCTATGGGAGCCTGTAGAGCCATGCCAGCTCACTGCCCTCAAATGGCAGGGCCCAGTAGTCACTGGAACCCTGGAGAACCCGAGGACCAACACAAGGTGATTCAGCAGAGGCTCCAAGCAGGCCATCTAGAAAGCAGGATGAACTCCAAAGCCTGAAAAGTTTCCATCTAAAATCCAGGGTTCCTTGGTCTCAGCAAGAACCTGCCCTCACATCTGAGGCTGTTAAGCCTAAAGCCAGCAAAGGGCTGAGGTCAGAGAGGTAGATGAGGAGCAATCGATAAAGGGTCAGCAAGTGTTGGGGCATGGGCAGAAACTCCATCCACCTTTGACCACTCTGTTCTCATGTCAAGCTACAGGCACCACCTGGGATATCTAGGAGCATTGAAGTGGCCTGTGGAGAGGCCCACAATAAGGGTTCCTGTACCCACCAGAAGGGTCAGCTCTGGGCCTAGTACAACCATTGCAGGGTCCCTCAGTATGGAGGGCCCAAATGTAAGAAGTGGGCATTGTTTAGCCTGAAGGGAAAAGGCAGCTGAGGAAAACTGGAAGCATGGTCAGAGCCCCAGGCCCTATGAGCCAGGACCTTGGGCTACAGCTGCAGACTGACCAGCTTGAACCCAACCTCATGGAAACAAGGCTGACAACTCAGCAAAGAACATGTTATCAGGGCCAGCTACAGAATGGATTTCTCTGGAAAGATGCCCCACTACCCCAAAGGTCAGCATTGGAGGCAGATAAATGGGCCCAAATGACCTCATGATACAGGCCTAAGTCTATGGAGTGTTGTCTGCAACTTCCCTCAGAGATCTGCCCTCTTAGAGCAACTGGAGTCAAAGCCCAGTCAGGAAAAATGCAGATTAAATAAGGTTGTGCTTCAGGAGCATCCAGAGTCTTCAATTCCCACAGAGCGGCCCCCTTGCTATTACCTACCATTAGACAGGCAGCCACCCGAGTCTTAAAGGACTTTTGTGTGTGTCTCCCATAAACTTGAACTCCTCCAGGTCACATGTAAAACCCTAATATCACCTTATTAAGATTAAGTAACATCTTAGCAAAGAATTCCAGCAGACTTACAAAGCTTATGTCCAGCCCATCCTCCCCTTGTGGTAGGAAGAGTGCCTTGGTAATGGTGTGTCCCCAGTGGTTAGCACTGTGCCTGGCACACAGCAGATGCCACCAAATAAACAAATGAATTATTAGCACCATTAGGCACTGGGTAGGAAGCAGAATTTGAGGGTTGGGGAGTATAGGAGAAAGTGGGGATTCAGAGAGGAGGTGGCCAGGTAAACCACTGTTTCACAGTTTTACTGGGTGCCAAGAGTAACTTGACGAGACACATTAAAAAATAAAAAAAATTTAAAAACCTGAGTGGTGGCCAAGGGCCAGGACAGCCCCAGCCAGGCATTCATCCACCCAACAAAGCCTGGAGAAGTAACTCTGGGAAGCACACAGGCTCTCGGGAGTCTGAGCTCCAGTCACATGTGACCACACTAAGGTCCAGGGCCCAATGTCACTTCACTGATCCACTTCAGCTTCTCCACATGACCCACCCTAAACCCAGTCTCCAGTCCACCTCCTCATGTAACATGGGGGAAGAAGGTGAAGTGAGCCACACTGAGACCCGGAGCCATCCTTCCTGCTAATAAACATACTAATTGCTGCAGGAGGTAGGGGGTTGGGAGGGCTGCAGGACAGCCAGTGCCTTCCCTCTGTGTAGAGGCCACTTGGGCAACAAGGCAGCCTACAGGCCTCCTCCACACAGACACACACATACATAGGGTTTCCTCTGAGCATCACACAGAAAACTGCATTTTGAAATTAATAAACAGGTCAGACATTGAGTCAGTAGCCAGAAGTAGAACAGGAAGTGGAAAAAGGCTCCCACTTCCCTCCAGGTGTTTGGGGCTGGGCAGCCCCCTCCCATTTCCATGACGTTATGGTTGCTGACAGGGGCAAATAGGGCACCCTTTGAAGCCTGCCCACAGAAGCCACATCCTCTGGAAAGAAAAGTTAAAAATACAGAGTTAGAGATAACATCTCCCCAAGCCACGTGCCAGGAGGAGGCAGGCTGGGCCGTTACACTACCCCCAACCACAGGTGCAATAAGAAGGCTACCAAACCACATTGGGCGGGGCTGGCAGGCCCCTCTGCTGACTAGCACTCACACCCACACCCCCACAGCAGTGGGGGAGGTGCTGTCCCCCACTGCTGAGAAGCCTCCCTCACCCATCTCTGCCACCCCAAGATCAAACCTTTTCAGACACTTAGTCAAGGACAGATTTACAAAGCTTATGTCCAGCCCATCCTCCCCTGGGCAGGAGGGATGTGAGGGGATACCTCTGACCACACTCACAACTGGGCTGGTTCTCTGAAGGGCATTGTCCCCCAGGGGCCCCACCTTCGCTTGCCTCCATTCCAAGTTGAGACTGAAGTACAGGCAATGGCCCTGTGGACCTCTGCTCCTCCGGGACCAGGAGACCAGGACACTAACTACAAGAGAGGAGGCAAATAAGCAGAGACCTGAAAAACACCAGGCTTTATATCTTGTTTTGTGGTAATGTCCCAAGCCACCCACCTGGGGGCAGCAGTGCTCCACCAAAAAGGTCTCTCATGCCCTTGCTCTGTTTATTCTAGGGAGGGAAAGTCCCCAAAGTTTAGGAAAACCTCTTTTCAAAGGAAAATAAGATGGCAGGTGACTTCTCTTGTTTCACAGGCCCCTAATTGGTGCCAGACAGTCACTGCACTGGGGCTTCAGGCCTGCATGATCCTGTAGCCCTACAGAAGAGAGGAGTAGGGTCAGGCCCTCAGGCTGCAGGGGGCACTACCTGCCCAGGATATGAGACCAACTTGACTAAAGGCAGCCCAAAGAGAAGCTGGAGGTGCACTGCTGAGAGTTTCCAATCAGGATCAGGGAGCCTGGGCCAGCCCAGCATCCATGGTTTTCCTGGCCTCTTGCCCTGGACAGGTCACTGACCACCTACAGCCTGCTTCCCAGTGGGGTCCAACATTCTTTTCTAAGCTTTCTTTCACATAGTATACCTGCCATGTGCCAGACACTGCAGAAACTGTGCCAGACTCTGGGGATTTGGCCTCTGTACAAACAATGTGACTCCACACAGATAAAATTCAAAAGCAATTACTGGTGATAAATACTGGAACATGGGTTACCTCTAGGGTAGAAGGACTGATTGGAAAGGGGCACAGGAGAACCTCTTGAGGCAGAGGTTCTACATCTATTTCTGGGTTATGAGCATGTGGGATGTACACATGGCAAAGAGACATAAAAGTAAGATTATGTGTATAAATTACATCTCAATAAAGTACTGTT